TACTCCTGATTCCCACCATCCACCTCGTCGCGATCCTTATCGGCATCGACATCATCCTTGGGGTTGACCTGTGCCTCCTCATCACTGGTCGGCTCTGGAGCAGCAACTGGCGTCGGCACATTAGCATCTGGCTCGGCCCCTTCGGGCATATCTCCGAATGGCATGAAAGAGCCTTGAAAAATGTCTTGACCCATGATGGAAATCTAATTCCCAAGGATCCCTTTGGAAGAGGTAAGACCAAGAAGGGTGAAGGTTGATCCAAGGAGGCTCACACTTGAAGACCATTGGGCCTTTAACTAGGTCCATGGTTAGGAGGCTAGAGGAGGCTTCTAGAGAGGAGGTGCTTCTTAGACCTATGCTCAATATGATTATTGAGTATGATTCCTCTTTTTAGTCTCATAGTCTCTATTGTACATACATTGTATAGTTTGATTTCTTGTACCTTGTATATAGTAGATACTTGTATAGGTGTATTTTTGCCTTTGTATTTGTGAGACACTTTATTTCCTTTTATTAGCTATTGTATATTGTTTCTAGGGTAGGTTACTTGGACACTTTGACTCCATTTAACCTAATCTAGAAATACACTCTTTTCTTAGTTTTCTAGTAGTAGGATTGGGAGTGGCATTAGCAAGCTAGAGAGTGTAACTAGCAAGCTAGAGAGTGTTACTAGCAATTGGGCCTAGAGATGGGCCTAGGCAAAATTTTACATATTAGACTCATTTTACTCCTAATTTTTCATAGATTTGATTTAGCTAGGTTTCATTCACATTGGATGAACCTAACTAAACCAAATCAACATTTTTTCAAAACCGGTTGGAGTAAAATAAAGTCCATGAGCCGCCCACCTTGATTTGTGTTCACATTACTTGTTCACACTCAAGCTTAGAAGCTTGAAGCACAAGCTTCTCCTTAGCTTGCTTACCTAGCAAGCTAAGTGAGTAGCTTGCTCTCCAAGCCTCTAGACCATGGATGGTTAGCTAGACCTTACCATGGTTCCTAGTGAACCATGGTTAAGGCTAGCTTGCTCTCCAAGCTTCCTACTCCTATATTTTCGTTTTTCCTTCATTGTAAAACACTTTTGGATATATTGAGATTTTATTTCTGAAATATTGTTCAGATTTCTCTCTTCTAAAAGTCCCTAAACCTCTTTGATATTCATCCAATTCTCTTATCCCTTCACTAGAAGAGTGTGGTGAGAATTGAAGAGACTTATCTCTTCATCAAGGAGTGGTGTCTCTTGAGAGAGTTCTCCACCAAACCGTGGTGGTTCTAAGGTCTCCTCCTCCATTGGAGACCTTAGCAAAGCTTAAGAAGAATCAAGGAGCCGAAGATCTAGGGAGGAACTTGAAGAGGATTCACATCAATCCAGATTCTCCAACAAGTTTTCCATCAACCCATGTCAAACTCGAAGCCCTCTCGGAACTCTCTGAAGTATAGCTTGTCGAACGGCATGCTTGAACCCAGTTTCATGTTGCGCCAAGATACGATCTTGCACTTTCTCTTTGAACTTCTCAAGTTGAGCATTCACCTCGGCCGCCCGATGTCCCTCCTCAACAGACTCCTTTTGCAAGTCCAGCCGAAGCGTATCATTTTCACGCCTCAACCGATTCATCTCGGCAACAAGGTCTCGGTTCTTAGCCATTAGGTCTTCCAAATTAGCCAGAGCTTTGGCGGTAGACTTATCGGCCTCTTCTAACTTATTTTTCAAGCTCACCAACTTGCTGATCGGTTCCATCGCGAGATGGTGAGCAAGCACCATTGATCGTGCTTGAACCTCGCAGAAGTACTTCCACTTGGACACGGTGTCCCACCGATCCAAGTACTCGCGCCCGACATCCGAGATGGCGTCAGGCCGAACCATAGCATCCACTGACACATCCTCGCTTAAGAAAGCACGAGACATGAGTGTGGGGGGCACCACAATGATGCTCCGATTCAGTGAAGGCCACGTGGCTTGTTTCTATTTCTTTGGCTTATCGGCCCGCTCTTGATCATTCTTTCTCTTGGAGTCACCCTGGTCGACCCCTTTGCCCTTGTTACCCTTTCGGCGCTTACGGTCAGGTGAAGGAGGAGCTTGTTCATCTTGTAGTGGCCGCAGCGTGCGAGCCACAGCCGAACTATCGCCTACCCCTCCGACTTGTTCGGCCTGCGCCATCCTGTCAGCTAGCAAGTTCTGAATATTGAACGCATCGGCTCCACTGGATACCATGATTCCTGCAAAGATAATGAAGTGAACATCAATATGAATTTAGCGTGCAACCGAAGTAGGATAAATCACATACCTATCAGGTCGTTATCCCATTTGGGAGACTCAATCACATTTATTAGTGACCTTGTCGGCAAGCGTCGAGGAAGGCGAAGTAATAATTTTAAGTTCTTTTGCTCTTCGGCCGTGAGAAGCTCTTCCAGCACAACATCATATGGCTGAGGGGCACGCCTCCAGTACAATGGAAAAAAACTTTTATCGTTCACACCAAAGAAGAAACGACGTCCATTCGGACGAATGCTCACTCGAAAAAACCCAGCTTTGAAATTCTTATATGAAGAAGTTAAGTTGTCTAAGAGTTTCCGACTCCCCACTCGGCTTAGAGACACCCACTTTGCCAAATCCGACGGTCTGGAAGAATAGAAGTAAAGGAAAAGAAGTGGAGAAGGCCTAATGCTCAAGCATCGACATAGGTGTTTGAAACCTTGCAGTTGAGCCTAGCTATTCGGATGCAATTGCGTCGGCGCCACGTTCAAAACTCTTAGCACCCCCATGGTAAACTCGTCAAACGAAAATCTCACCTTGAGATCTCGTAAGAGACAATCATAGATATAGAATGAGTCCATCTTCTTGGCCCGCTTTTCCAAGCAAACCATGTTGGGATTCGGAAAAGCGTTTCGGCAAGACCAAACCCCGATCAGATATGGCTCCTCCCTTGCGTCAAAGGTCAGAAACTTGGTATATTCCAACAGGTTTTTGATCATCGTAGTGTCTCGATAACGAGAATAGTACGATGTCACTTCCCCATTTACCCACTCATACTCAGGTACTTCGGATGGCCCGTACCGCTGACGAGTTGAAACATGTTTAGATTTGGACGGCACCATGGGACTCTCGCTAGTGGACGTCTCTTCAAACGTGTCTCCACTCCCAATAGGTCGTTCAGCCTCATTCAAAGATGATATTTCCACATATGAGTGACCCGAGTCACTAGATGATGACCCCTCGGATGATGATGGCTGAGCCCCACTAGCCGAAGAGCTTTCAGAAGAACTAGCCATAATACTAAACACTTACCAAATACAAGACTTTGAAACAGTCACTCGGCACGCTGGATCGGTCTCGAAACTCACTCAGAAATTCACCTCGGATTGAAAGCGAAATGTGGTGGTGGGCTCTAGTGCCCATGGTTTTATATAGCCCAGGAAAAAGGCGGGAAGATTCAAATATGAAAATCACAACCGTCAAATCCCACAGATCCAACGGATCCAGATTGCATAACCTTTCGACTCCTCCACTCAGAATCTTAACTGACTCCCCTATGGGTGAGACGAGATGGTTATTTGTGGACATTTATACCCTTGAAGAGAATTTTCTCTCTCCAAGGCTGGGGGGCAAGTGTACAGGTACTATCGTTCGGCCACACCATTCGGCACGAAAAACTTAATGGTGTGGCTGAAAGAGGTAGCCGAACGAATGACTTGAGCGTCGAAGTACCTTTTGTAGGTGCCCTCCCTCTCACCGAAATATTCATTCAGAGCTCTCGTTCGGCCTTCAGAATACGAGAAGTTTACTAGTGTGCCCTTCAGACAGGTACATCTACTATATAAGAAGTTCTAAAACTTAGAAGAAGATAGAGAAACACATATAGAGAATATAAGTGTACATATAGAAAAATGATTTGTACTCATCTCTTAGAGAATCTTCTTCAGGAGTCTTTTGCACTAAAACTATTTGTTGTGATCACGTCTAAAATAAACAACAATTGCAACCATGTAATACCTTCATAATCCTTGTTATACGGTAGATGTGGCTAGGTAAAAGAATACTTGTAACTTTGATAAAAGTTAGTGGAACTCAACCTGGTTGGATTGAGAACTAGATGTAGCCTCGGTGGTTGAGGTAAACCAATATAAAAATAATGTTTTATTGATTACTCTTACTGACCATTCATCTATTGTAGATACTACTTCACGAACTTGAAAACTATGAGTTTTTGATATGAATTATTCAACCCCCCCCCCCCTTCTAGTGTCTATCTTTTCTTCTCACATGTTAATGGTCGTTCTGCCTAAAAAAACAATAAAGCATAAAAATGCACCTAAGAGTTAAGAGAGTGAGAATCAGAATTCTCAAAGTCCAAAAGGTATAAAGCAAAGCAAAAGATGCCTCCTCCCTTAACTAATCTACTATTTAAAAGCCTAAAAAATGACTCTCAAAATAAAGAAAATATAATTAAAATAAAAATTAAAAGTTACAAAATAGATGTTTGCACAGGCAAGAAATTATGTTGCATGCCTATGCTAGTTGTTTCTTGATGGCTTTAGTGAATTTCAGACTTCCTTAGTGAATGGAATAGGCATGCCATTTTGTGCACAGGCATGCCATTTGTTGTCTCGTGATTTTTCATCTAGTAATGGGCTGAAGCCTCTCAAATTTTCTCCTCTACAAGTTTGTGATGATTAATCATGCTCTAATGATTCACATAATTCTATAATCTCTTTTTGCATCAAATTTAAACACTTTTGGCCCATGTATTTATAAAAAATAAAAATAAAAACACCAACGTAATAGGTTCAAAAAATAAAGAGAAATATGCAACATCAAGGACAAAGACAAACCTTTATGTAAATATTGAATGTTCTAGTAAGTTAGTTTTCTCTGCTAGTGGTATAGATTCCATTAAGTGTAATGGCCATGGGTCATTGCAATAAGTCTAAGATAAAACTAATAATGTAAATCCTATTTAACAAATATATATATATATTTACACAAGGAGTTGTATCAAATTCTTTTAAAATTTAAGTTCAAATGACACAATAAATATAAAATGAAACATTTTAGACAATACTAATTAGCCAAATCAATTGCATGTATCATATAAATTTCATCTTATGGCAATCCCTTCCTATTAAAGAAAGATAATTTTATCTAACTACTCAACATTAATGCATCTTATCATTAAAACATTACTCAAATAACATTATGATGAAAAACCTCCCTTATTAACTTATAAAAATTATTACAAGATGATCCTCCAATATCAGTAGCTTTTATTGCTTTCTTCTTCCACTCTAAGCATTTTTGTTTCATTTCCATTCCTTTTCCTCCCTTCACCATTTCCTTCACAAGCATTGATATCTCTTCTCTCTTCACATCATAGTTAATTTCCATCCCTATTCCCCAATTTGTGCATATATACTTGCAATTTGTTTGTTGATCAGCAAAGAAAGGCCAACAAATCATAGGCACACCTGCAGATATACTTTCAAGGGTAGAATTCCAACCACAATGGGTTAGAAAGGCCCCAACTGATGGATGAGAAAGCACTTGGTCTTGGATGCACCAACTTGTTATGTATCCCCTATCCTTGACCTCATCAAAGAACTCTTGTGGCAAAGTTATAGATTCACCCATTACTATATCTGCCCTCATTATCCACAAGAATGGTAACTTGCTATTTGCTAGTCCCCAAGCAAATTCTTTCAAGTGATGTTCTGACATTACTGTTATACTTCCGTAATTAACATATATGACTGAGCCAACTTCCCATTTGTCTAACCACTCTAAGCATTTTGAGTCGTTCTTCCATAAACTTGACCCACTTGACTTGAAGCCCTTTTCTTTATCAGGAAAATGTTGACCAAGCAAGTGAAGTGGTCCGATGTTATATATGTTTGGATTTTTGGCCCTAAGGACATTAAGGTCTTCTCTATCCAAGTCTTGGAATGAATTAATGATGATTGAAGATGATTTCAAACAATTTCGTGCCTCAGAACCCAAGAAATCAAACATAATATCATCCAAAGTTGTTGTTCTTATAAAGCTTGGAAGGTCTTTGAGTCTAATATCTTTCATTTCAGATATCCATTTCAAACTTTTATCTAGGGTTCCATCAAGAGCAAAATTTTCATCTAAAAATTTGACAAAAAAAAATATACAACTTCAAAATAATGTTTCAAAATGATAAAATGAAAAAAAAATTAATGTAAACATTGTTTGTTTTCAGTAGAACACTTATAAAAGAAATTGCTAAATATAATATTATTAATTATCACTAACAAGTTATTCGTCTTAGTAGTAGACTCAATCCCTTTAAGATTTTGGTTCAAATCTTGTGTATAAAAAAAATGATAAGGAGAAACGATCTCACTAAAGGTGACCAATTTTCAAAAAAATTGATAAATAGTTCATCATATCAATAATATAATTATTAAAAAAATATTATACCATATTATATTGTTATGTGCGAATATTGAAAAAAGATATTATATCATTGGTCTAAAAACTTTTTTATTTATAGTTATTTCATATATATATATATATATATTTATATATATATATATATATATATATATATATATATATATATATATATATATATATTACAAAGTTTTCACATGATTATTATTTTAAATACATGTTCACATGTATACGTATATCTGAATAAAATTGTATATTGCTATTAATTTAAGTTTTTTTTATTATAATAAAACTGAAAAATAGTCTCTAAAAATGTAATTTATTATTTATTTAAGTTTTTCTGTTTTATAAGTTTTATTAATTTTAAAAACGGAAGTGTTTATATAGTATAATAGTGTCATGTGATGTACATGTAAGTGCCACATGACATGAGTATCATATAATATTATTTTAATCCTTGAATAACATTGTGTCACTTTAATTCTTGAAATTATAACTGAATATCACTTTAGTCTTTAAAATTTTAATTTGATATCACTTTAGTCTCCAAACTATATCATAATTTTATTTTAATTTAGTAATTATGATTTGAATATTTTCACAATAAAATAGGTGATTAAATTAATATTGTAAAAAGGATAATAAATATATTCAAATTATATTAAAAGTTTTGTATTTAATATTATATCAACTCTTATATATAAAATATGAAAAATAATGTGCAAGAACACTTTGAGATTTTTTTTTTCGGCGAGAGAGGTTTTAGGGATTTTCTTTTAATTTCATACCTAATTTGACTTTTATTTATCAAAAATATTTATGAATTAAATATTAATATTTATAAAATAAATTATCTTATAATAAAAATAATCTTATACAATAATATAAATTATTTATCATAAATCTAAAATATAATTTATATATTTAAAATAACTATTTATTGAAAATTTATATATAATTTAGGTATTTAAATATAATATTTATTTATAAATATAATTTATTTTAAATTTTAATTATTTATAATAAACATTTAACATGTGTATTGTACAAACTAAAATATTGTTTTTTTTTTTTTTTTTAATTTTAAATATGCTACATCTCTTTTTCTAATTATCAATTTTACCCCTCTCTTTATCCATTTTATTTTATAAATTTAATAAATAAAAATAATTTCTAAATTTTCTATATTTTTATTTTATTTTCATAATTAATTCTTATACAAATTATTTCTTATTTTTCTATTGTAGAAAATATCTATTACTTTCATTTTGCAAAGATTACACTTTTTGTCTTTGAAATTCTATTTTTATTTTAATAATATATACAGTTGAAACTTTTTACAAGATAAATGAATAAAAAAGAATAAAAATTTGATAATTGAAAGATAAATATATTTATCATCGTATTTACCATATTAATTTGATTATCTATTTTATTGTATAAATATTCAAGTCATAATTATTTGATTAAAATAAAATCATGATAACGTTTAGGGACTAAAATGACATCAAGTAAAAATTTTAGCGATCATAATGTTACAATTTGAGGAATTAAAATAATATTATGTTATAGTCATATTTCATATGATACACAATCAACTGACACACATGTTCCATTTAAAATAATTAAACTTATTTAATGAAATGACTTAAATAAATGACTTGAGTTTCATTAGAATTAATGATTAAATTTGGAACAAGATTTTAGAGACTAATTTCACCATTTAATTATAAAAAAAATATGTATTTACTCTCCTTTAAACATATTTGATCAGATGTTTTTGTTACATGAGTCATTTAATTTATTTTAGAAAAATACATTGTATTAAAAAATAATTAAAAATTAATATCTTTTACAATGCTATTTAAATATAATATATCATATAACTAAAGGTATCAATTTTTAGAATAATTATTTACATATCACATTTAAAATTACTTTAAAAATACACTAATAATGTTAAAATTGTACCATTTTATAATATTTTTCATATAAATCATGAATCAATTATTATATATCTACTTTCTTTGTCATCTTATTTTACTATTTTTTTAATAAAGTGGCGTAAAAAAAACTACTTGTTGATAAAGTCTTTACATGGACGTTGTTTAATTTATATCTTCTTTAAATCCAAATAATAAACAATGGTTGAAATTTTTCTTAAACTATGTTGCATTGCGTGGACTAGTCAAACAAAAGAGAATTGAGTGGACAGTACGGAGTCTGTGGCTGTGAAGCCACATGGCCATGGGGTGCATTAATCAACAAGTGGGGCCCACCGCAATGATTGCTAATTTATTGATTTATTTTATTCTTTTCATTATTTAATTAATTTATTTGTTTCTATATTACTAAAAAATTTAATTTAATCTTTTGAGTTTTTAAAACCATATAATATAATATTTTTGCCTAATCGAAATTTAAAACAATAAAATTTGTATACATATAATATAAGTGTCAGTTTTTATTGTGGCATGTAAACAAAATGTTATCGCTATTAATCTTAATTTGACCAAAAATAATCAACAATTAAACATCTCGAGAACAATTGGAATTTGAATGCTCAAACTGGTTATCATTCCAACAGTAAATAACCATTTTTTAACGAGTATTGATATAGTGGCCGAATTTTTATCCGAAACTTCAACCGAATAAATAAAATAATAATAATTTTTAATAAATTTATTATAAAATAATTATTTTATAATAAATTTATTAAAAATTATTATTATTTTATTTATTCGGTTGAAGTTTCGGATAAAAATTCGGCCACTATATCAATACTCGTTAAAAAATGGTTATTTACTGTTGGAATGATAACCAGTTTGAGCATTCAAATTCCAATTGTTCTCGAGATGTTTAATTGTTGATTATTTTTGGTCAAATTAAGATTAATAGCGATAACATTTTGTTTACATGCCACAATAAAAACTGACACTTATATTATATGTATACAAATTTTATTGTATTTGGACACAAGATTTGGAGGTTAAATCATTACTCTTTTTTAACAGTATTACATTTGTTATAAAAGCTTGTATAAAATTAATTATATATTTATCACTTTCTATCATTAATAATATCTCGTAATTCTCTTTTTATAAAAATTGTGATAAAAATGATTGTTGATGAAAACTGGTATAGGGAAGCGTGCCAGCGTGCCAGCATGCCGGATTCGGACAGGTCACATGCATATAAAAAATAGAAATCATGACTGTTGATTTTATATTTCCACAAGTTAATGAGCGTAATTCTCATTTTAATTATTTTAAAAAGTTATTTGTAAAATAAAATTATGTGTTTGAAATAATAGTTTAAAATAGTATTTTTTAAAATATTAATTTATTTTTATAGAGTTAAAAGTCTGAAGTTTGTAATTATTTAAGCTCATTTTCATAAATTTGACATTTATTTTATTTATAATTATATTTAAACAAAATAAAACAACTTAAAATTACTCATTAAAATTCATTAAAACAAATTAAAATTTTAAATATAATAAATCGTAACAATAATATTTATTTATTTACTTAAATAATGTAGTTTTTCAAAATTTTTAACATATAATTCTTATATTTACATTGATCAAGTTTTTTTTTCTTCTTAAAAGTATAAAAGGAAAACACTTATTTTAAATTAAACACTAATAAAAATTATAACATAGAGACAAAACAAATGAGAGAGAGACATACCTTGAAACGGAACAATGCCTCTTTTAACGAGTTCATCAAATTGCAAATACCCTACAAAACCACAAGCCGAAGCTGTCCAAAGTTGAGCCTCTGCGATGCCCAAATCCTTAGCAACTCTCGTAGCAAAGCCCATAGTTCCATCAGCAATTATGCAACTAACTTTAGGCACATGGTGCGAAGAGTTCAGCTTCATCACCAACTCCTTCAACGGACCATAGCAACTTCTCCTAGTGGATTCACACAGTGCTGGAACATCCTGCGTTGCGTCCTTATCCGAAGGTGGCAACCCATCGGGTATGGTCTCAAACACGAAACTTGGGAGACCCTTAACAAAGTCTGGTCCATGGGACTTAACGAAACGTTTGTGGTTGAACTCGGTGTTCACGAACGTTACGTGGAAACCCACGCAGTGGAGGAGTTTGGCTAATTGCATGAAGGGGTTTACATGACCCTGTGCTGGGAATGGGACGCATACAACGTGGGGCTTTGGTGTGTTGTGGAGTGAGTCCATTTTTTGTTTAAGTGACAGAGTTGAGAACCAAAACTTGGTTTGAATGTGTGTGCGAAGGATAAGTTCTCGTAGAATGGTTATGGAGTGCGGTTTTGGCTTAGCTTCCCTCAGTTTACCTATATATATATATATGCAATAATATCTCATATCATAACTTACGTTTGTTTTCTATTTTTATTAGATATTTTTACTGGGAGTCCTAACCACAATTTTTATAAGTTCGAAAATTTCAAACAACTATCACAATAGAAAAGAAAAAAAAAAGAACTCCTATTATTTGGACTAACGTCAAAATGACACACCACACCTCTGTATATATATTTAAATAAAATAAAAAAAATGATAATTAAAATTAAATAACATTTAATAACTAGAGGATTTAAGCAGATTTTAAGTAGTTATAAGAAATAAAATTAAATATATATATATATATATATATATATATATATATATATATATATATATATATATATATATATATATATATATATATATATATATATATATATATATATATATATATATATATATATATATATATATATATATATATATATATGTTCCTGTATCAAGGGACACACTTCAATTATCTTCGTAGTTGCGGGTCGGGTCTCGCGTCTCGGTCTTCTCGTTCCAGTCCGGGCTATCCGAAATGAGGGGGGGTGCCTACAAAGACACTCCGATGCTCAAGTTAGTGTTCGGCGTAATAAATGCGGTAGTTCAGAATTAAATACATACCTCGTTGGGGTCCTATTTATAGGTCTTCTTATTGGGCCGTAATTAGGGATTGGGTCCCGAAAAATTAGGGGGGTTAATCTGATTTATGTTAATTAAACTCCCCGTAATCGTCTTGCCGCAGGTATGGGGTTTAAGCCGAGCGCGCCGAGCGTATCATTAGGTCCTCGAGTACTCGGAGATCTCGGGTATTGGTCCTTAGTGTTCAGTTCGTATCGAGAGTGGTCGGCGGGTTCGGTTTTCGGGCTCGGGTATTCGGCCTGGTCGGCCACCATACGGTATACAACCCTGCAGCGTCGAGGATGTGGAAGACGAAGACGTTCTTGAGTGTCTGGTATCGCGTTATCGACGACTGTGGCCGACCATGCGATCCTTATTGAGGGGAAAACAAAAACCCCTGCCGATGTCGAGGGTTTAAGTGCGAAAACCAAGCCGAGACCTTCGACATGTGAAGTCGTGTCGTGGTCTCGGTTGGACGAGACCTAGGCCGAGACCTTGGTTGAACGTGGTTGGTTTCGAGGTCTCAAGGTAGAAATTTAAGCCGAGACCTTCGACACGTGAGGTCGTGCCGTGGTCTCGGTTGGGCGAGTCCTATGCGAGACCTCGGTTGAATGAGGTTGGTGCCGAGGTCTCAAGGTAGAAATTTAAGCCGAGACCTTCGACACGTGAGGTCGTGCCGTGGTCTCGGTTGGGCGAGTCCTATGCGAGACCTCGGTTGAATGAGGTTGGTGTCGAGGTCTCAAGGTAGAAATTTAAGCCGAGGCTTTCGACATGTTAAGCCTAAGCCGAGACCTTGGTTGAACCCAGTTGGTGCCAAGATCTCAACTGTGAAATTTAAGCCGATACCTCCGGCATGTTAGGTCGTGGCGCGTTGTCGGTTGGGCGAGGCCTAGGCCGAGACCTCGGTTGAACACGGTTGGGATTTACCACGTTGGCCCTAGCGGTTACGAGTGTAACGGTTACTAAATCTGGACCGTTGGATGATATAGATCGAACGGTCGCGACCCGGGCACGTCTCTTCACCTCCCCCATTTACCTTGTCTATAAATAGGGGGGTGAGTGCGAGAGAATTTACTCGCTGTAATTTTTCCGAGTGCTGCCGAAATCGATTAGTACCGAGCACATCGAGCAAGGTAAATTTTGTATTATTTATTTTTAATAATAAATGGACAAGGAGTATTCGTCGGCTGGGAGTTGGACATCGTCGGATGTGTCGGGCGCTGAGTCGGACGGGGAGGGGTCGGGTTCCAGTGAGATCTCTAGGTTGCCTCCACTGCAATGCGAAGTGGTTTTCCCCTCCGATCACCCCGAACATGATGATAGCGGGGATGAGGTGGTCGAAGTAATGGCACCAACGTCTTTGGCCGTGGCCTTGGCGCGGGCCACCGAGGTTGATGAGAGAGGTTTATGTCGAGTCGGCCAGTCGGACCCAGATACCGAGGTGGTTCGTGCCATAGCCAAGGAGGACGAGTTGGAGGTTGTCGGTGACGCGCGAGGCAAAAGCGTCGCCGTCTCGAGGACTCAGCCCAAGGCCAGGATCGACTACGGCACAGTGGAGATGCCGGGGTACGAATGGGTTGACGGGGAAGTCAGCATATATTTTTCTAAGTTGTCCGACCAAGGATTGTTGGATACATTCGTATCTTTGGAGAACTGCTTCGGGAGTGGGGAGGATGAATTTCCGTTACTTGCCGAGTCGTGTGTGGATGATGGGTCGGACACTGACTTCGTCTTTTTGGAGCCGGGGCCTGAAGAGGACAACTACTTTACGCTTATATGTGTTGGTTCCAAGATCTCGGCATTTAATTGCCTTTTGATGATTTTCAAATGGGGGTTCTCCGAGTAGTCAACGTGGCACCAACGCAGTTGCATCCGAATGCTTGGGCCGCGGCGCAGGCGTTTCGGAACCTATGCCTAAGCTTGGGTCTCACTCCCCGACCTCTCGCCTTCCTTTACTATTATACTTGTCGCCCGAGCAAACTGGTGAAATGGGTGTCATTGGCTCGGGTGCCAAAGCATGGGTTCCTCCGAGCGTTCACCTCCTCGTATAAAGGGTTTAAGAGTGGTTTCTTCAAGGTTCGTTGGGGGTCGGACCTAAAGGATTGTTTTTATGACCGAGAAGGCGCCCCTTTATTCCCTTTTTATTGGACGAGGCGTCCGACACATTACGAGGCGATGCCCGCATCTAAGCTCCCTGCTGAGGATAAGGAGATTGTGGAGCTGCTAGACCAGTTACCGAAAGGCTTGCCTGTCCGAGGCCTTTTAGACATTTTTGAAACATCTCATTTTGAGATGGCTTTGCTAGGTATGTGCTTTAGGCTTTGGTAGTTTAGCAGTGTGTTGAATTGATGTTAAAATTTGCTTTGTTGCAGGATTAATGGCCGGGGGGAAGTTAGATGTTACAGCCATGCTCGCGAAGAGGGCAAAAGACGCGAAGGCCAGTGGACAAGTGCCTCCGGCGAGGTCGGCCCTCAAGGTGTCAAGGGATCGGCCTGCCCACGTGGTAATTCCGATAGGAGACCCAAAGAAGAAGGGTAGCACCTCTCTGGTGCGGGCCGCCGAGCAAAACATTGAGCTGGAACGTCCGAGCTCCTCTACAAAGCGGTCGAAGCAATTGTCTCTGGAGCAGTCCGGTTGCGGTGCCTTCGCCATTCCCGCTGTTGTGGCGGGGTTGAACTTCCTTGTTCCGGACGTGCAGACCGAGAACTTGGTTAGTATAGACCTCACGACTGGGGGAGGTTTGTAGTACTTGGAAAGCATGACTACGGAGGCCGAGTACAAGCTCTTTTGTGAGCTGGATGCTCGGACCTCCCTGGTGGCCAAGCACGTCATGATGAGGCACGCTGTATCCGAGTCGAGGCTCCACGACCGACTTAAGGAGGTCGAGATCACAGTGAAAGAGGCATTGGCAGCAAATGCCCAGGTGACGGCAACCGCCGACGATCTAAAGAAAGTTGCCAATGCCCACCGAAGGGAGGTCGACGACCTGAAGTTGGCCGTTCAGAAGTTGAAGGCCGAGGCTGCCGGCTATGAGGGTGAAATTGCTCGACTGAAGGAGGAAGCTGCTAGATTCGAGGCTGAGGGCACTGAGAAGATTTTGGAGCAGCATGATGCAGGGTTTCAGCATGCCATCCGACAGGCATACTATTACTGCGAGGTCCCGACTGATTTTCAATTCGATGTCAGTTGGGACTTTTACAGTGGTAGGTTTATAAGTTATGCTGAATTCTCGCAAGGGGCCGAGCCAGATGCCGAGGCCCCTGGTCGGGGTATCTCTACCCAACCTTCAGCACCGCCGACCGAAGAGGAGGACGATCCGATCATCGATGTGGTCGGCCAAGGGGATCCAGAGGGATCAGCCGCGGAATAGAGGGTCATGTTACCTTTTTGCTTTCTTTGTGACCGGGCTGTTAGTGATTTTTTGCCAGCATTTCCATGTAATTTTGGTCGTTAGCGCCGATAGATTACGATTTTTTGTGTAAGTAGCTGAATTGGTCAGTCATATATTAATGAAATTTCCTTTGTCCATTTTTGCCGTTTTTTTTTTTTTAGAAACGTGAATATAAATCGACTTGTGTGCTTAGTCGATGGGAAGGTTCGCGCGTTATCATCGACTGACGCTTGATGTCTTGGACAACGAGTTAGGCTTGATAGTGTTCGGACATATCGAGCTCGGTCTTTAGTGATGAGTGGCGATGTGGAACATGCGAGAGTAGTCGATTTTAGCGCTTAGCTATAAATATATTATTGTGCGTCCAACGATAGTAATCGGCGCTATCAAACGGAAGTGTCCGGTCTGGTAGCGTTGAAATATTTTAGTAATCGGCCGAGAGATGCTCGGTGTCAGCGGGTGTTATAGCGCTTAGCCTAGGTACATTGTTAGCTGAGGAGGGTACTCGGGAGGGAGACTTTTAGGGCTTGACTGCGTCGTTCTAGTGGTCGGTCGAGAGTTGCTCGGCGTCGGCGGTCATCATCGTGCTCGGCCTAGGTGCATCCTTAGCCGAGGAGGGTACTTGGGAGAGAAACCTGTAGGGCTCGATTGCATCGGTCTAGTGGTCGGCCGAGAGTTACTCGGCGTCGGCGAAGTCATCGTGCTCGGCCTAGGTACATCCTTAGCCGAGGAGGGTACTCGGGAGGGAAACCTGTAGGGCTCGATTTCACTTTTTTGGGAGTCGGCCTAGGGCCGCTCGGCGTCGACGAGTGTTATTCGAGGTTCGACCTGTATGTCAGACTTAAATATACATTTGCAGTTAAATATGGAAAAACGAAATCACATTCGGAAATGTCTTTGTATTAATAATGTGCCTCGTTAAAAACCTTGCCGACCCAAAACCCTCCTTAGGGAAAAAAGAGTCGGCCAAGGAAAAGAGTGCACTGTTACA